TTGCAATCTGACTCATTAGCATTTTTTTAAACTAGCAACAATGACTCAGGTAACCCTTTTATATAATTTTTTGTTTGATAGAGTATAAGAATGAGGAGAAGGGTCATATATGATGTTATATTTATTGTAAAACTTGTAAAAGCCAGAACCTGAATAAGGCAGAAATCTCTCAGAAGGAAAACTCAAACATCTCCCATTAAATAGAAATTGAGTGCTGGAAAATGGTAAGATTTTACCTGCTACAACAGATTCTACCCAATCTCAGCAGAAAACTTGAGAAATTTCAAAAACATAATTCCATCAGGTTCTGGTTGTTGTGTTTCATTGTAAATATGGTTTAGAAAATGAAATTTATATCCTAGAAATTGTTAATCTGAAAACCTTTTTTGATAAGTGTCTTGGCATAAAAGTATGTATTTGTGGTTGTATATTACTTGGAATCAGTTTGTAAACTAGAGAACCTTGTGAGTTTGTGAACATTAAGAAATATTTGTCTTTTTTTCTTCCCTCCTCTCTTCAGATTGTTCCTCATATAGTAAGTTTGGTTCATTCTTTCAAAAATGATGGGCTGCCTTCTAGTACAACCTTTTTAATGCAGTTAACAGAGTTGATCCATTGTATGATGTATCATTATTCTGGATTTCCAGATCTCTACGAACCTATTCTGGAGGCAATAAAGGTATGATGGTAGCCATAAGAACATTGTGGTGTTGTAGATAATTATATGGTAATGACTATAGTGAAACATTCTTGTAACCAGTTATTCTGTTTACTACTTATAATAAGATCCTTAAAATGAAATTCAGTTGCAATCCGACTCATTAATGTTTATGAATAAACATATCTCCAATTATGCATCAGTTATAAGGCATATCCTTGAATTTGCAACTACTTTAAAAATGTTTCATTAGGTTGAATATATAAAAATTGTATCCAAATTTCAGGAGTGGTCAAATATATGTTAGAATCAAAGAAATTCTATTTCCTGGTGAAAAGCCGTATTTGATCTTTACCAACTTCACAGTGGGAGAACCATCTGCATCCACACCATCAGTAAGACAAAATCAATTCCCATGAAGTCAGATATGTCCCAAACACTCCCATGCCTTTTTCTACTCATCTTAACACCAGTCTTACTGGTTTGCTGGATCCAAAATCAAGTGTTACAGCTCATAGACCACATAAAACCATTTTGGGGGAGTAAAAAATTCAAATTAATAACAGAATGCAATCAAGACAGCTCCCAAAGTATCCAAGTAGGCACCTCAGCCTTGAGCTTCATGGCATTCCCAAATTTTCAGTCTTGACTGGATTGGCTTCCACCCCCCCAGTTGTCCAACAGATTGCTCAGTTCGGTCCACCCATTTGTCCAACAAAGTTCTCAGTCGTGCCTCTGTTGGTTTCCATTTCTTTTCCACCCCACCCCTCACTCCAAAGTCCCATCTCATCACTTCTCCAGTTCAGCCATCACCGTCGCTGCCATCCCAAAGTGTGTCCTACATTTCTTCAGGATGGGGGAAGGCTCTTCACTGGCTGGGGGAAGAACTTCATCTCTTCTGGTGGGGGAGGATTTTTCTCTCTGCAGCTAAAGCAGTTTAATTTATTGACAACACTAGCCTGTCCTCTTGTAGATTATTGAGACTAGCCAGTCCTCTTGTGGAATGATAGATAGCCTGTCCCTTTGTGGATAAACCAATAATATCTTTATTTCACAAAAGTGTTACTTGAATTACTTGTATATTCTATTTTTCAAGTTTTTATGGATAGTGGATCTCAAAAAATTGGTTCTATGCATTATGAAGGATGATAGCAAGTATAATAAAATATATCAAGAGGCTTAGCCACACACTTATAAGTTATTAGAAATAAATCCTATTAAAACCTTCCTTTTTGAGATCCAATATGTTGTCATTAACTACTGTCGAGTCACTTGTGACTCATAGCAACCCTATGTATAACAGCTCTAAACCTACTCTATCTTGAGCCAACGATTTTGTGTCTGACACATCTACTGACATTACCCTAATCACTGAATCAATCCATCTCATCGAGGGTCTTCCTCTCCTGTGCTGTCCCTCCACCCTCCGAAGCAAGTCCTCTCCAAGGACTGGTCCCTCCTTGCAACTTGTCCAAAGTATGTCAGACAAATCTTCAGAATCCTTTCCTCCAAGGAGTAGCCTGGTTTCACTCTCATCTCTACATCAATTTGAGACTGTTTCTAAGGCTAATACTGAGTAAATATTAGTAATAAGGTTTTTACTAGAAATGTTGAAAGCAAATTGCTTAACGTATTTGATTGTATGCTAATTTAAATTCTCTTTCTCCTACCTTTAAATAGCTCTGATGATGAAGTTTTGTTTAATAAACATTTTGCTGAAAAATAGAGAACACAGATAAGTAAAATGTGACTTGAATTTCTGGTTCTTAAGTAGTTTCTGATTTTTAAGTATATATGCTCCTATAGCTAAAGCTAAAGAGAAGAAAATGGAAAATTTTTACAAAATCTTACAGTCCAAATGTGTTAGTCCTAATTGGTGACTGGAATGTAAAAATTGGAAACAATGAAGAACAACATTGGTAGTCAGAGAGTAGGTACTAGATGATAGAAATGAGGCTGGAAATAGAATGATTGAGTTTAGTATAGCTAATGAGTTATTTAGCACAAATACCTTTTTTAAAAAATACAAACAGCAACTTTTCACATGACCTCAGCTGATAGACTGCATAAGAATCAGATTGATGATATCTAAGGAAGAACACATTAGAGAAGTTCAGTATCAGCAGTCAAAACCAGGCTGGGGCAGACTGTGGAACAGACCATCAGATACTCGTGTGCTAATTCAAATTTAGGTCAAAGAAAATAAAAAGATATCCATGAGAATCCCAAATCTGATCTTGAATGTATTCCACCTGAATTTAAAAATCATCCTAAGAATATATTTGAAGCACTGAACACCAGTGATTCAAGACCTGAGGAGCTGTGGAAAGACATCAATGATGTCATCCACAGAGAGAGCAAAAGGCATTACAAAGACAGAGGAGAGGAAAAAAACCAAAATGGATGACAGAAGAGAACCTGAAAATTACACTGGAGAGTGAAGAAGCGGTGGGGAGAAGGGTAGGATACTGAAGTACAGAGCTAAATAGAAGATTTCTAAAGGCAGTTCCTCAAGACAGAGTATTCTAATGGATTGTGCAAAGAGCTGGAATTGGAGAAAATAGAGGGAAGAACTTTTTTGGCAGAACTGAAAACAAATTTTAGCCTCCAATTGAGTGATCCAGGAAGCATCAAAATAAGGTGGAGAGGATACACAGAGAAAAATAGAATTGACTGACACTGAACAATTTCAGGAAGTATCATAGGAGCAAAAGCCAGTAATGAAGAAGAAAAAGTTGAAGCTACATTGAAGGCATTGGCAAAAAACAAGGCCTCAGGAATCAATCCACATTTGTGGTTTTAGAACTTTGAAAAAAGTTCTATAAATTCCATATCATTAGCTCCCTCTGTAGGCATGGTCTCCAGCTACCTCAGCTGCAGACACATGGTCTGCAGATAGATCATCAACAGCTATGGGATCAATATAAGAGAGTGCTTTCAACACCGTGGAGAGAGACTGAAGAGACTGTGGCAAGGCGTAACCAGAGGAACCCAGGAGATAGAGCCACAATTAAACGTTTTGCTTGATGGATGGATAATGGAAGTGAAAAGCTGACTTGTAACTGTTTTGAGATAAAGGTACATCAGTTTCAGGCCATACTCTTTCTGATCACTCACTATGCATCTAAAAGCTGGACAGTGAATAAGGATGGCAAAAGAAGAATTGATGCCTTTGAGCTGGACAGTGAATAAGGATGACAAAAGAAGAATTGATGCCTTTGAGCTGTGGTGCTGGAGAAGGTACCCAACCTCCAGTAGACTGCCAAAAGAACAAATACATCTTGGAGAAATTGTAGCCAGAGTGCTAATAGCAGGCAAAGATAATGTTTCCTCTCACATACCTTGGGCATGTTGCTAGGAGAGGGTTTCTTGGAGAGGGGCGTCATACTTAGAAAGGTAGAGGGTCAGTGAAGAGAGGAAGACTCAACCAGATGTATTGTCACAGTGACTGCTGCTGTGTGCTCTAGTGTGCCAAAAATTCTTAGGACGTCACAGGATAGGACACAGTTCAGATCTGTTATTCATAGGGTCACTGTGGGTCTTATTTCACTTGACAGCACCTAACAACAATAAGAATCATTTTCAACCAGATCAATCTGGCTTTTAGGAGATCATTTCTTTTGCTTTGCAGTAAAATTTGATTCTCCTTACTACTGAGGAGGTACAGTCTGTCAGTGATGTCAGAACTAAGTAAGAAAAGATGTCACTGGGAAAATTTTCTTTGTTAGTAGTTACAAGTAGAAACTTTGTTTTTTTTACTTAAGTGTTTGCCTGTATATTCTATAGGATTTTCCTAAACCCAGTGAAGAGAAGATTAAGTTGATTCTCAGTCAGAGTGCCTGGACTTCTCAATCCAATTCTTTGGCATCTTGCTTGTCTAGACCTTCTGGAAAATCTGAAACTGGGAAAACTGGTCTGATTAACCTAGGAAATACGTGTTACATGAACAGTGTTCTACAAGCATTGTTTATGGCCACAGAGTAAGTAAATTTGAACATTTTTAATTCTAGAAGTTGATTCATGCTGATGAAATGTAAGTTGGTGGGTTTACTTTTGCATTATTTTTTTGTAAATAACAGAAATGCTAATATTTTCATAAGAGTTTCAGACTCAGAAAAAAATGGCTTTTAGTGATAAGAAACTTCAAATATTAAGTTCCCTAAATTTTCCTTTATATATTTTGCACATTGCACGTAGAATGCTACCATCTTTTTAAATACTGACTTGATCTTTATTAATTTAACAAGAGGGTTGTTGAGGTCTCTTAAAAACGCTATTAAGATCTCACCCCTTAAGACAGTTCATATGTTATTGTGATAATTAGATTTAGTTTTACAAAGAATCCTGGTGGCATAGTTAATAGTACTGAGCTGCTCTTTGAAAGTTCATCTCTTTAGCCATTTGACTTTACCAGTACTCTCCTCCCATGTGATTTTTTTGTGTGCCATCAAGTCAGAACTGACCTCTAGCCAATCTTCCAGCAGGTTTTCATGTGCAGGAAATCCCGTGGAAAGAAATTTTCCATTCTCCTGCTGGGCAGTTGGTGATGCAAACTGCATGCCTTTTGGATTGCAGCACTTCTTACCTATAAGCCACCGAAGCTCCCTCCCTTGTGGTTTATAACCTCTGAAAACCCACTAGAAGGTCAACTTAACAGCAATGATTCTGACTTGGAAACTTTATTTGGCTGCTGTGGGGGGCTTTAGTTAAATATTTAGATGTAAAAACAAAATTTGGGGTTTTTTTTCTTTTTAACGTATCTTTGCCGTTCTCCATCTAATTACAGCTCATAGCCACCCCATGTGTGTTAGAGTAGAAACTGTACTCCACAGGGTTTTCAGTGTCTTTATTTTTCAGAAGTAGATACCCAGGCATATCTTCCCAGGTGCCTGTGAGTAGACTACAACCAGATAGCCTAACATAAAAATAAGAGTACACAGCATATGTGGTATTTAAAATGTTATGTATTACATAGATACATAGATTATGTACATAATCTATTATCCAAGTATACTTTGGACTATAGTTCTTTTGAAAGAAATTAACTTTTAAAAAATATTTTTATATACATATATTTTAATAAATATGGCTACATAGCATATGTTAATTTGATTGATACCTAGAATATATTATTTACTAGGTAATTTGTGACTTTATCTACAAGTACATAAAGTAAAATTTGAAAGTTCCCAACCTGATACTTAGCAATTTTATATGATTTCTAGACTTTTCCTAAAGTTGTAAGCTTGCACATAGTTTAAAACCAAATGTACTGGAGTTTTAAAATATTTACAGGTTATTTGTATATTTTTTTATTGCCTACTTCTGTCACCTAATAGTTTGTGTTAAAAAAGTTCCACATTGCATAATACAAAGCCACATCATTCTGATCAAACAAACCAATTAGGACCCAGTGGGTCGACTTTTATTATTAAAAGTTGGTTAGGGCCCAAGAGCCTCTTGTTTGAAGCATTTGGGATCTGAAAGGTATGTCTTTATTGTTAGTAGTAGTCAGCTGTGGCCTGTTTGGTCTTTTTGTTTTAATTAACAATGAGTTGTGGGCTAGGAGCCTCATATTTAAAACTTTTAGGACCTGATGGATGGGCCATTGTGGTTCAAAGTTGATTGAAGGCTGATGTAAAAGCTGATTTGCTAGTGGAAGTACAAACTAAATTGTCAATTTGACCTACAACCAGGAGAAGATAAAGTAGATGAATGAGATCTTTTAAGACTCAAATCCCTATGCATATCCAAAAACTTTTCCAACACGGTAAAATGGGAAGCCACAGATTGGAAAAAAGTATTTGGTAATAACATATCAGATAAGGTATTTATATCCAGAATTTATGAAGTACTTAAGCACCACAACAAGATAAAGGTAAATAATCCAATAGAAAAATGGGCACAGGATATGAACAGGCACTTCACC